CGGTTCCTGGCCGCCTTCTGCACCCAGAGCCGGGCCGTGGTGGAGGCGGCGCGGAAGCTGCTGGACGACGAGCGGGCTCCCCGCAGGCAGAAGCTGCTGGCGGATCTCATCCACAACCTGAACGAAAACATCCTGGCCGAGGAGAAGGAGGATGACAAGAAATGGTTTGAAGGTATGTCTGTGGCTCGCAGGGAGCTGAGGGGCACCGGGACTCAACCAGAGTCACTTCTGTCCATTTTGCTGCTCTTAAAGAAAAGAAGTTTAAAAGTTTGTGAGTCCTTCTGGCTGGTGTGATTTCGTACCTGGCCAGGCTTATATTAGCATGAGTTTTCAAGTTTCTTTAAAATATATCTATATTTGCTATCAGAAAATGGTAAAAAACCAATATTCCCTATTGCTCTATGCAAGATGGCTCTAGAATACATTTTTCCCCATTAACATAGGTCTGCATTGACAATCTTTTAACAACTTGCTAATAGTGTAGCGATAATTTGCATGTATCGGCTAGCCAACCTTTAGTTTTCTTTATACTTTCTTTGCAAGTTCCCCCTTTTGTGCCCAAATCATCGTTGCAATTCTTCCTGAACAATTGCTTTCTCTTCAGTGTCTCTTAGTGTTCTGCGTACGCACATAAACAAGAAACATTCAACAATTGTAATACCAGCTACTGCTCTCAGAACAGATGCTCTGCGTCATCCTTTTGAGTGCTCAGATCAGGGTAGCACTGAACCAGTAAAATAAAAATGGGAAAGGAAAAAAAAAATCAGTGCGTACTGAGTTTGTGAAAAGAAGGGATAGACACCCACCTAGGCAGAAGCACGGCACCAAACGTTACAACACAATCTAAATCCCTTTAGGTCTAGAGTCTCGTTTTAAGAACAAATCAAGCTACATGCGATACAGTTGTGAAAGCAGAATACGAGGCTACATGAAAGAGGTAAGTGTTTCTGATGAAGAAAAGTATTTTCAAGGTTCTAGTAAAAATAATTCTGTGACCACATATATATAAAACACTTTTTCAGTGCAACATATTGATTGTAGAAAAGAGCCCCAGGCTGCTATAGGCACCAAGGAATGATTGGTTTTTTCTCCTTCCCCCCAGGTTAGTAGTTTTATTCCAAATGTTCATCCTGCAGCAAGAGAGGCATATAAAGCGATAATTGACCTGATGTCAGATAAACTGAAATCTGTGAAGTATAACGGCTGCTACTTTGACAGAAGAGAGGAGGAGGCAGTTCGCCTGTGCACTGTGGAGGGGTGGTTCTCTTGTCAGGTACGTTCGGCCCTTTCGAAAGCAGAGAGTCTTGGTTCCAACGAGCAGTGGCATGATTTACAGTGACACTAGAGGAAGGAAACCGTTCCTTGGATGCTTGTGTACTGAAGTATCAAGTTTGAGGGGGTGGTGTTGTCACAGCATGCGTGATCTGCCTCTGGGTAGAACAAGTGGAGGCGGGCTAGGACTGGGGTGACGAGCAGTACGCATTTCATTGTAGCCCCCTTGTTTTACAGGGACCTTTCGACAGAGATGACTGCCCGTGTAAGCATTCCATCAACCCTTACAGTAACAGGGAAAGCAGAATCCTCTTCAGTACCTGGAATCTCGATCACATGTATGTATGAAGTATTAATGGAAACTTACCTGTTTCATGCTCTTCATCTTAGGCAGGAAAGGTGCAGCCATTGAGTCTTTATCCTCCCCCCACACTGTGCAGTTAGCTCCGCTGTGAACAGTGCGTTGTGAAAAAAGGTGCTTGGATGCTGCAGCTGTTTCTGGTAACATAAAATCCTGAAGACAGATGATAATGCTGTCTCATTAGCTGCTTTGCTTCTGTTCAGATTTTCTTTGTATGGAAACATACCCCTCCTTGGCACGTTATCCTTTGTGGAGACTCCTCTCTGGCAAAAACCCTCAGACCCATTTTCAGGCATTGTGCACTTGTGAAGCAAAAAGGATTTGCTAAACTAATTTCCTCAGGGAAAAAAAAAAATCATAAACTTAGTTATGGTGAAAGAATTCAAATTCTGCCTGCCTCTGAAAGGAAAATGGAGACTTGATTATTATGAAAAAAACTCTTGATGGCAATATTGTTTTTTCTTTTGTGTACTGAAGAATAGAGAAGAAACGTGCTGTTGTCCCAGAACTGGCAGAAGCTGTCAAAACACGAGATGGAAGAGAAGTGAACTGGGAATACTTCTATCAGCTGCTGTTTACCGTGGAGAATTTAAAACTTGTACATATTGCTTGCCATAAGAAAACCAATCATAATCTCAGCTGTGACAAAACTAAAATTTACAGAAAAAGGAAGCAAAACCACAAGATTTCATAGTGCTATCCCTGCAAGTGACTTCTGTTTTTTTTCAAAATCATGTCACATGGTATCATTTTTAAATAGCTCTGGTTTCTTAAACAAAAACTTATTTAGGAGTCCCTGGCAAAAGAGACTTGCTAAGTAATTCAACTACAGTCTCACAAAGCATACATTCATATCATGCCTAATTCTACTCTCACGCCTTCTCGCTTACTACAAGCCTTCTTTAGATCCCACTGTGTTAAGTGCCGTAAAATACAGCTCTGAGTCAGAGTATAAAAATGAGGCCAGAGGCTGACACTGATTACACCCCATGATCTCTTTCTTGCCTTGACAAATTTAAGCCCAAAACTCACAGTACTCAGAAATGAAACTTAAGACAAAACATTTTGTAAAAACTAATCTGCTGCTTTAGACATGCATCTCCTAGAAGGAAGAGCAAGGCTGGGGCATATCTTTGCTTTTACCACCTTTGTTCTTTGTCATCTTTCCCATTGATTTCCCTTTCAAATGGTTTCTGCCTTTTTAGCTTGAGTTTGCCTGAAGCAATACAAGCAATGTTACTGTATAATCATGTTTACCTGCCATTTTAGAGAATATTGCTTTTGTAAAGCACTTCCTACCTCAGGTTAAAAAAATACGAATCAATACATTTTTACTTGATTTTTTTTTTTTAAATATCAGCTGATAGCAACTGAACTTTTAGGGAATGTCAGTGTAAACTGCTTTTTTTTTTTTTTTAAATAAAAAAAATTACCACCATCTTTCTGTGTCTGTATGCGGAGGCAGAGGTGCAGCAGTGTAACAGAGCATGGCCAGTGCAGGCTAGAAAGACTGAGCGGAGCAAAACATTTGTGAATGGAGATACTGCTATGTAAATAACATCACCCATCTCTAGGGAGGAGCTGTTTCCCCCCATATTGTTGGTCCTCTTTCTAACCAAGGTAAATCCAGCTAGTCCTCTAGGCCTTGGAAATGCAAGAGCTTTGCTACAGACAGTTTAATTTACTTTGAACAACAAACTCAATCCCCCTCCCAAACATTTCAATGTGAAAAGAAAGTAAGTACCCTTTAAATACAGGATTTCTAATACCAGTGTATTAAATCAGTCCTTCCAGAGTGGCTTACTGAATAGCCATCATCAGTAACTGAGATGGAAATGCACACTATACTGTTTTGACATTAGGGAAGGCACCACAGCTAAGGTTCTGATGACAAACACAATGTCATCTGTACGACATGCATCCTAGAAACTGAAAATCACCATTTTTTACAGTGCTGAAACTAAAACAAATGTCTGTGTGTGAAGACGTATTTGCTAGAAAGAGACGGTAGCAAATATGGCATTTAAGGAAAGCTGGGAGAGCTACTTCAAGATGGAGTTGTGCTGAAAACCATGAATATGCTATTAAAAAATTAGATTTTTCTGTGTTAGAATTAGAGTGAAAAGGAGCCAAGAAATATCGTTGACAAACAATGCATCAGCTGGAGTGGAAATGTGAATAAATTAACATGTCATGCATATACAATTTGTTTGGCTTACAACTTTTGAATGTTTAACAGGCTATAGCTGTAGAAATTAATATTTATTTAAACCATCTGCTGATAACATTTCCTCTATATTTTTAGAAATGTAGAAGAAACTATTTATAACAATAAAGATCTGGAAGCTTATTGCATAATCGCACTTTCAAAGAACTATTATCATAAACATCGGGTGAGTTAACAAGTTCCTGAAATCATCTGAGGTTGCTCGTTATCTAAAAATGCAGGCCAAAATAACAAATTTGCTGGACTGACCCATATCCTTAGCAATCAATAATCGTACAATTTGTTTCCAAATGACTGAAAATTCATCAATCTTTGCCCCAGATACCTGTAGAATACTGTCTCTGCCAATTCCAGAAAAACAAACTCTACCAGTTCTTCTCTCTGAGAAAAGGTAAACCCAGACACCTTATGTTAGCGGTATGGTGGCCAACTGTTGTTACGTGGTTGCAAAGAAAAAGAAAAAAGGGTTTTGTTTGTTTACAGTTTGTTGTTAGACAACATCCTCTTCCTCCTCCTCCTCATCTTCCTTTGCAATGAAGTGTAGCTTCCTGAATTCTCGCCTGCTCATCGTTGTGCTTGGGAGTACAACTGCTGGAAGATCCTTTAAGAAAAAGATAAAATAATTAGGGAAAGTCTGTTGGTGACAAATGGCAGACCTCCTACCTCTCCAACAGTTCCCATACTTCCACATCTGATACATGAGGCACCAACACACACCAAAAGCAGAGGTGGCCAGAAACTAATTTCCATTCCAAATAATTAAAATAGAGAACCAATGACCAGGGAAAAACTATTTTGAAAGAACAATGCTGTATGTCCATAATACAGCTATCTATGTCTTTATGAGTAAAATATCTATCTCATGGAATTATATTAAACAGTCTAAGCAAGAAAAAATTTACATCTGAAATTAATTTGTCAGGGCAATGAATTTCACCTCTGAGTAGACAATTCTATCTAGGGGTCAGGGATATGAGCACCTCTGAGTAGACAATTCTATCTAGGGGACAGCGATATGACTCCAGATGTCTACCAATACTGGTCAAGTTTGCCTACAATTTTGAGGCCAGACTAATTTTGTTTGAAGATGCAAGACCGAAGTGGAACAGGACTGAGTGTGAACAGTTGTCATCTTGGTCGTCTTACCTGTATAAACGCAACATCTCCAAAGAACCGGTCCACTGGCATTGGCTGGTTGCTGTCTTCATCCAAGAGAGCACTGTTGTCCAGTCGTATCGGCTGCTTTGGGAGATCATCCTCCAAGCCAGACCCATCTGAAAGTGCACTCTCACAGTTGCTCTCCTCTCCACGGCAATCGTGACTGTGCAGATGTTCATCCCTGTCCGTTTCTGACGGAGCCATACTTGATTGCACTGCACATGGCTTGGGAGAAACACCACGCTCCTTTTCCTGTTTCTCTTTGTTAGTCTCTGGAACGCTTTCACCTTTTTTCTGTTGAATTATATTGTGGTCTCCTGGATCTTCTGAACATTGATCCCCATCAGAGGTTTTAGGTGTTTCCCCCAATGCAGCAAGCTTTCCACTTCCACATGGAAGTCCTTCTAGTTCTGATTTTATCAGACTGTCTTTTTCACATTTTAGCCTCTTTGAGGGTCGTCTGTCAGCCACTTTGCGTGAAGAAGACTGTTAGGAAACAAAGATAAGATCCTAAAGCTTACTTGAGATAAATACAAGTAAAAACACCAGATCCCTTTAGTGGCAGAGGGCGAGGGGCACCTTGATCCGAAGCTGCCTCGGAAAGAGAAATGAGTAGAAAGCGCACGTGAAAAGAGGAGGAGCAGATAGCTTACACTAAACCACACGTACACCCCTTCACCTGCAGAAAGCTACTTCTCAAAGCACAAACCAGCACCGTCTGCGGCTAAATACCATGTTCATATTTCCTTAGGGATGCTGTAGATGGCCTTTAGTGGAGCAGAACTATCCCCCGCTGCGGCAGAGCATCCGCGCTGCATCTGTGCACACAGGCGGCTAACAAAGTGGCGCCAAGGCAGGAAAGGCGAAGAATTTACTTAAATTCTCCAGGTAATTCCCTCACGATGATTCTCAAGTTTGTAGCTGTTAATAATCAGCCGCACACCCCACACCGTCCCTACCGCCCTCT